CTCACCACTCACCCTCACCACTCTCCCTCACCACTCACCCTCACCACTCACCCTCAACACTCACCCTCACCACTCGCCCTCACCACTCTCCCTCACCACTCACCCTCACCACTCTCCCTCACCACTCACCCTCAACACTCACCCTCACCACTCACTCTCACCACTCACTCTCACCACTCACCCTCACCACTCACCACTCACTCTCACCACTCACCCTCACCACTCACTCTCACCACTCACTTTCACCACTCACCCTCACCACTCACCCTCACCACTCGCCCTCACCACTCGCCCTCACCACTCGCCCTCACCACTCTCCCTCACCACTCACCCTCACCACTCGCCCTCACCACTCACCCTCACCACTCTCCCTCACCACTCTCCCTCACCACTCGCCCTCACCACTCACCCTCACCACTCTCCCTCACCACTCACCCTCACCACCACCACTCGCCCTCACCACTCGCCCTCACCACTCGCCCTCACCACTCGCCCTCACCACTCGCCCTCACCACTCACCCTCACCACTCACCCTCACCACTCTACCTCTCCCTCACCACTCTCCCTCACCCTCACCACTCACCCTCACCACTCTCCCTCACCACTCACCCTCACCACCCACCACTCACCCTCACCACTCTCCCTCACCACTCTCCCTCACCACTCGCCCTCACCACTCGCCCTCACCACTCGCCCTCACCACTCGCCCTCACCACTCGCCCTCACCACTCACCCTCACCACTCACCCTCACCACTCTCCCTCACCACTCTCACCACTCACCACTCCCCTCCCTCACCACTCTCCCTGACCTCTCACACTCACCACTTTCCCTCACCACTCTACCTCACCACTCACCCTCACCACTCGCCCTCCCACCACTCGCCCTCACCACTCCCCTCACCACTCTCCCTCACCACTCACCCTCACCACTCACCCTCACCACTCTCCCTCACCACTCGCCCTCACCACTCACCCTCACCACTCTCCCTCACCACTCACCCTCACCACTCACTCTCACCACTCACTCTCACCACTCACTCTCACCACTCTCCCTCACCACTCGCCCTCACCACTCACCCTCACCACTCGCCCTCACCTCACCACTCACCCTCACCACTCTCCCTCCCCTCACCACTCACCCTCACCACTCTCCCTCACCACTCTCCCTCACCCTCACCACTCACCCTCACCACTCTCCCTCACCACTCTCCCTCACCCTCACCACTCACCCTCACCACCACCACTCTCCCTCACCACTCACCCTCACCACCACCACTCTCCCTCACCACTCACCCTCACCACTCTCCCTCACCACTCACCCTCACCACTCACTCTCACCACTCACTCTCACCACTCACTCCTCACCACTCCACCCTCACCACTCTCCCCTCACCACTCTCCCTCACCACGCTCCCTCACCACTCCCTCACCCTCACCACCACCACTCTCCCTCACCACTCTCCCTCACCACTCACCCTCACCACCACCACTCTCCCTCACCACTCACCCTCACCACTCACTCTCACCACTCACTCTCACCACTCACTCTCACCACTCACCCTCACCACTCACCCTCACCACTCACCCTCACCACTCTCCCTCACCACTCTCCCTCACCACTCTCCCTCACACTCACCCTCACCACTCACCTCACCACTCACTCTCACCACTCAGTCTCACCACTCACCCTCACCACTCACCCTCACCACTCGCCCTCCCCACTCGCCCTCACCACTCCCCTCACCACTCACCCTCACCACTCTCCCTCACCACTCGCCCTCACCCTCACCACTCACCCTCACCACTCTCCCTCACCCCTCTCCCTCACCCTCACCACTCACCCTCACCACTCTCCCTCACCACTCGCCCTCACCACTCGCCCTCACCCTCACCACTCACCCTCACCACTCTCCCTCACCACTCTCCCTCACCCTCACCACTCACCCCTCACCACTCTCCCTCACCACTCTCCTCACACCCTCACCACTCTCCCTCACCACTCACCCTCACCACTCTCCCTCACCACTCTCCCTCACCCTCACCCTCACCCTCACCACTCTCTCCTCACCACTCGCCCCTCACCACTCGCCCTCACCCCTCACCACTCACCCTCACCACTCTCCCTCACCACTCTCCCTCACCCTCCACCACTCACCCTCACCACTCTCCCTCACCACTCTCCCTCACCCTCACCACTCTCCCTCACCACTCACCCTCACCACTCTCCCTCACCACTCACCCTCGCCACTCACTACTCTCCTTCACCACCCACCCTCACCACTCACCACTCACGCTCATCACTCACGCTCACCCTAACCACTTACACTCACCACTCGCCCTCACCCCTCACTGCTCACCCCTCACCACTCACGCTCACCACTCACCCTCACTGCTCACCCCTCACCACTCATGCTCACCACTCACGCTCACCGCTCACCACTCACCCTCACCAACCATCCTCACCACCACCACTCTCCCTCACCATTTTCTCTCACCACTCACCCTCACCACTCACCCCTCTCCCTCACCACTAACGCTCACCACTCAGGCTCACCAATCCTCAACACTCACCCTAAACGCTCACCCTCACCGCTCACCCACACCGCTCACCCCTCACGGTTGTGAGTGGAGAGGGTGAGCGTGAGTGGTGAGTGGTGAGGGTGAGTAGTGAGGGTGAGTGCCGAGTGGTGAGTAGTGAGGGTGAGTGCCGAGTGGTGAGCGGTGGTTGTGAGGCTGAGTGAGGCTGCGTGGTGAGGCTGAGTGGTGAATACAGTCAATATGTACTGCTGTAATCATAGCAGGTACCACCACCACAGTATGTACTGCTCTCGTCAGAGCAGGTACCACCACCACTACAGTATGTACTGCTGTCATCATAGCAGGTACCACCACAGTATGTACTGCTGTAATCATAGCAGGTACCACCAGTCACTATGCACTGCTGTAATCATAGCAGGTACCACCAGTCAGTATGCACTGCTGTAATCATAGCAGGTACCACCAGTCACTATGCACTGCTGTAGTGATAGCAGGTACCACCTCATTCGGTATACACTGCTGTAGTGATAGTAGCTACTGCTATCGAGTTGGTAGATACTGCTATATAGAGTTAGTAGATACTAAAACAGTCAGTATATACCACTACAGTCAGTCAATACTGCTACAGTCAGTATACTCTACTACTATACAGTCAGTACATACTACCACGGTGAGTAGCTACTAGAGTCAGTAGATACTATTATAGAGCGAGTAGATACTGCTATAGAGTTAGTAGTTACTACTATAGTCAGTGGATACTACTATAGAGTCAACAGATACTATACAGTTAGTCGTTACGACTATATAGTCGGTAGATACTACTGTAGGCCCAGTAAATACTATTATGGGCAGTAGTTACTACAGTCACTAAATACTACTACACAGTCAGTAGCTACTACTGGCTCAGTAGATACTACGGTACAGTCGGTAGATACTACTTACTCTGTTGTATGTAAGGTGTTGTTAGTATATATACCTACGAGGGGTAAAGATATTTTTTGAGGGGGGGGGGAGAGACCACAATTTTCGGAAACCTTTTACATCAACTATTTACCCCACACTTTCTACAACTTTTTGGACTTGTGAAAGCCTCTTTTATATTTGTTGGTATAGAAATGTACAAACGACCCCCACCGGGCTTTGACAATACCTTAGTATCTGTGTGTATATATGTAAGGTTTTTAATAAATATCTTTTTCACCCGGGCAACGCCGGGTACTTCCGCTAGTGTTATATATATATATTTATGCACGACAGTCAGACAGACAAATAATCCCTGGTGGGCAGTGTGCAACATATTGTTTCAACCTGTAAAATACTGTTAGGAACCTCCTGGTTACACCAGCCCACAGGGGATTATTGTGTCCGTCGTGCAGGGAGGGGCTGGGTGGGGAGGGTGAAGCTGGGTGTGGAGGGTGGGGCTGGGTGTGGAGGGAGGGGCTGGGTGGGGAGGGTGGGGCTGGGTGGGGAGGGTGGGATGGGTGGGGCTGGGTGGGGAGGGGCTGGTCACCCCGTGGTGCCCTTATAAAACGCAACGTTTGACCTACTCACGCCGGCTTGTGCCCGCCCTCAGTCGGGCATATTTGCGGAATACACCACGCCCTGGCCGTTGACCCTGCAGGCCATTGACCGAGCAACCCAACGTTCCTACCAGCTTCCTCCGCAGGATAATGTGTTCCCTGGTGGGCAGTGTGGAGCCTGTTGTTCCTACCTGTAATATTCCGATCGACTCGTGTGGCGGGGGTGGGGGGTGGGGAGGGATTCATTGTAATTGTTACAGGACCAATGATTGTGGAGCGATTTGTCCTGTTGCTTGTTAATTTTGTCTGTGTAGCTAACCGGGGCACGCTTTCTTTACCTGACTGCTAGAGAGGGATATGGATGTTAGGGCGGTGCACTACCCTGCCGCTGAATGTATTTGTGCTGTTCGTACTATTATTTCACAGCTAACTGGAAGGTTTTGATGATGATGGCATTTTGCTTGTAATTTCATTCATCTTTCAAGAAGCTTTTTTCACCACTAATTTATTTACGTCCCTAAACAGAGGGTTGTTGTTGTTGTTTTCACCACGCCTACGGTGGTTTAAATGTTTTTGTTTTCACATCGTTGGAATTGTAATGCTCCCACTTTTGCTTTTTGTTAGGACCCAGCGCGGTCGTGGGAGTCCAATCTTCGTGCTAATTGAACGTTCACAGTCACTAATTGAAGGCGTCTCCTTAACAAAACAAGTTGAGCCCCCCCCTCCCCACACACACAACTGCAGCAAGAGTCATTGACTAACTTGTATTTTTCACCCCCTGGATTATTCTCATCGTTTTCATGTTGCAGTGGTTTCTGACTTTTCGCCCAATTACCACGACTCATGGTGACCCCCCCCCCCCCGCCCGTCACCTCCACAATCCCAACCCGACCCACAGCCCCCTCCGCACCCCCACAAAACATCGCGTGCGTGGCCCTCAGCTCCAGCAGCCTGCTGGTCAGCTGGGAGCCGCCACCCGCACACGACGGCGGCAGCAGCAGCATCACGGGGTACACGGTCGCATACAGGGAGCTGCCCAGCCAAGGCGCAGACGCAGCAGACGACCAACAAGGGGACGAACTAGCTGACGCACTAGCTGCCGCACTATGGGACACACTAGCTGACGCACTAGGGGACGCACTAGCTGACGAACCAGCTGACGAACCAGCTGACGCACTAGCTGACGAACCAGCTGACAAACCAGCTGACAAACCAGCTGACGCACCAGCTGACGAACTATGGGACGCACTAGCTGACGCACCAGCTGACGCACCAGCTGACGAACCAGCTGACGCACCAGCTGACGCACCAGCTGACGAACCAGCTGACGCACCAGCTGACGCACTATGGGACGTACTGGCTGACGCACCAGCTGACGAACCAGCTGACGAACCAGCTGACGAACCAGCCGACGCACCAGCCGACGCACCAGCCGACGCACCAGCCGACGCACCAGCCGACGCACCAGCCGACGAAGCGAACGTCACGGGCGGGCGGCCGAGCGGGGGAAGGGGTGGCTGGTGCCGGACGCCGCGGCAGCCCGCGGACGTGAGGAGCGTGACGCTGAGCGGGCTGCTGCCCGAGGGGGCCCTGTACGAGGTGACGGTGCGGGCCCACACGGCGGTTGGCCCGGGGCTCTCGTCACTGCCCGTCCAGGCGCGCGCACACCACCACGGTACGTCAAGGGGGGGGGGGGGGCGCCGCTGTGTTCCACGCCGTGGCCGTGCCGGCCGGACCGACACCCTGACGTGGCTCTTGAGTGTTTCCCCTCCTGGTGGTGGTGCCTCTGCAGCTGCTGCTGACGGCTGTGTCTGGCCAGAGGCCTCCTCCTCCTCCTCTCTCGGCTTTCTGCGCTGCGGCTCTCGCGCGCCAGTTCTCCGCGGCGCTGCTCCACGCCGCTGCGCTGAGCCGCTTTGCGGGTTCCGTTTGTGTGTCCGTGTCTGTCTGTGTGGTTGTCTGTGTGTATGTGTGTCTGTGTGGTTGTCTGTGTCTGTGTGGTTGTCTGTGTGTGTGTGTGGTTGTCTGTGTGTGTGTGTGGTTGTCTGTGTGTGTGTGTGTGGTTGTGTGTGTGTGTGTGTGGTTGTGTGTGTGTGTGTGGTTGTCTGTGTGTGTGTGTGTGTGGTTGTCTGTGTGTGTGTGTGTGGTTGTCTGTGTGTGTGTGTGTGGTTGTCTGTGTGTGTGGTTGTCTGTGTGTGTGGTTGTCTGTGTGTGTGTGTGGTTGTCTGTGTGTGTGTGTGGTTGTCTGTGTGTGTGTGTGTAACGGGGAGTGGTGGTGTCGCGGTTTCCCCGCGTCTCCCCAATCCCGTAGCTGCCACCACCCTGCCCACCTCTCGTGGCTCCTCCCCACACTCGTCCGTGATGTCTACGGGAGACGAGCCGACGTTCCGCGCCAGCGGCATCAGCGCCTCCTCCATCGGCTTGCTGTGCGTGGTGGTGGTGATTGCGCTGCCTTCCGTGGTGGGGTGCCTCGTGTGGGGCCGACAGAGCGCCTCCAAGCGTCCCGGTGAGTGGCGGTGGCATTGCGGTGCCTACGCAACGTTGACTCCCTCGCCCGGTCCGCGGGAGGTCAAGGGTTCTATCCCGACCCTTGCGCTGCCCGCTGCTGTTTGCGTCTCTCTCCCCGTGGATTTCTCTCGGGGCCCTGCGGTCCCCCCCACCCCCCCTCCACGTTCGGAATCGACGTCTCCACGCGTTCAGAGTCATTTGGTTGCTGCTGCTGATGCTGTTGCTGCTGATGCTGTTGCTGCTGATGTTGTTGCTGCTGCTGCTGCTGCTATACATTTGCCACCCAACGACAATGACGACAATAAGCCACCGAGTGAAGCTGTCACTTGTGATAGCCGGTGAAGCTTCTACAAAACAAGTTGTGACACAGCCACTTAGTCAGGCTTAGTGTCACGTAGACAGAACGTGCCAACGACTTACTAGTTGATAGTGTATATAGTAGTGTAGTGTATACTAGTGTGTTGTGTAGTGTATACTAGTGTAGTGTGTAGTGTATATAGTAGTGTAGTGTATATAGTAGAGTAGTGTGTAGTGTATATAGTAGTGTAGTGTATCTATATATATAAAATCGTGCATGTCTGTCTGTCTGTGTATGTGTGTGTGGATTTCGGACCATACGCACTTTCATTGGACGGCGGTTGCCCCTGGCAACGAGTAGCAACTTTTCGCCGCGGGGTGGACGCCATTTTTAATAGCGCGGGGGGGGGGGGGGGACCGGCACCCGTACCCAGCGTTCGCCAGGTGGGAAAATCAGGCAAGGCGTGAGGCTCTGCACGGTGCTAGGCCTCGACACCCAACACGCCACTCTGAGGTAAATTCATACAAATTTCACGTCCTCTACAGAGTGGCGAGGGAGGCAGAGTGGCGAGGGAGGCAGAGTGGCGAGGGAGGCAGAGTGGCGAGGGAGGGAGAGTGGCGAGGGAGGGACTCAGCCTCAAAACGAGTAACTGGTGTGGCGTATTAACATCGCCACTGGGGAGACAAAGGCGGCCGGGCGTGGTGGATACAAGTCCCGGGCAAAGCCGGGTCATGGCTATGTGTGTATGTGTTTATGTGTATGTCTGTGTGTATGTATGTGTCTGTATGTGTTTGTGTGTATGTATGTGTGTGTATGTATGTGTGTGTGTATTGTGTATGTGTTTGTGTGTATGTATGTGTGTGTTTGTATGTATGTGTATGTCTGTGTGTATGCATGTGTGTGTATGTGTGTGTATGTGTTTGTGTGTATGTCTGTGTGTATGCATGTGTGTGTATGTGTGTGTATGTGTTTGTGTGTATGTGCGTGTATGTATGTGTGTGTATGTGTGTGTCTGCAGCAAGCGCGTGTATGTGTACCTATGGACGCGCGCGCGTGTGTTGTGTAGGGGGAACGGTAGTGTAGTGCTTAGCGTGCTGCCTGTGTCTGTGTGTCTGTGTGTGTGTGTCTGTGTGTGTGTGTCTGTGTGTGTGTGTCTGTCTGTGTGTCTGTGTGTGTGTGTCTGTGTGTGTGCGCGTGTGTTGTGTAGGGGGAACGGTAGTGTAGTGCTTAGCGTGCTGCCTGTGTCTGTGTGTCTGTGTGTGTGTGTGTGTCTGTGTGTGTGCGCGTGTTTTGTGTAGGGGGAACGGTAGTGTAGTGCTTAGCGTGCTGCCTGTGTGTGTGTGTCTGTGTGTGTGTCTGTGTGTGTGCGTGTGTGGTGTGTGGGGAGCGGTAGTGTAGTGGTTAGCGTGCTGTCTGTGTGTCTGTGTGTGTGTGTCTGTGTGTGTGTCTGTGTGTGTGTGTCTGTCTGTGTGTCTGTGTGTGTGTGTCTGTGTGTGTGTCTGTGTGTGTGCGCGTGTGTTGTGTAGGGGGAACGGTAGTGTAGTGCTTAGCGTGCTGCCTGTGTCTGTGTGTGTGTGTCTGTGTGTGTGTGTCTGTGTGTGTGTGTCTGTGTGTGTGTCTGTGTGTGTGTGTCTGTGTGTGTGTCTGTGTGTGTGTCTGTGTCTGTGTGTGTGTGCGTGTGTGGTGTGTAGGGGGAACGGTAGTGTAGTGCTTAGCGTGCTGCCTGTGTGTGTGTCTGTGTGTGTGTGTCTGTGTGTGTGTCTGTGTGTGTGTGTCTGTGTGTGTGTCTGTGTGTGTGCGTGTGTGGTGTGTGGGGAGCGGTAGTGTAGTGGTTAGCGTGCTGTCTGTGTGTCTGTGTGTGTGTGTCTGTCTGTGTGTCTGTGTGTCTGTGTGTGTGTCTGTGTGTGTGCGTGTGTGGTGTGTGGGGAGCGGTAGTGTAGTGGTTAGCGTGCTGTCTGTGTGTCTGTCTGTGTCTGTCTGTGTGTGTCTGCGTGTGTGTCTGTGTGTGTGTCTGTGCGTCTGTGTGTGTGAGGAGCGGTGGGTGTAGTGGTTAACGCTACGCTGCGCTACCAACCCGGCGAACCGAGTTCGATTCCCGCTCATGGCCACCACCGGTCAAGATTATTTGAACCTCCCATAGGTCGACTCAGCCTCAAACGAGTAACTGGTGTGGCGTATTAACATCGCCACTGGGGAGACAAAGGCGGCCGGCCGTGGTGGATACAAGTCCCGGGCGAAGCCGGGTAGTACAGCTAGTACTAGTGTATACTAGTGTAGTGTGTAGTGTATACTAGTGTAGTGTATGTAGTAGTGTAGTGTATATAGTAGTGTAGTGTATGTAGTGTGTAGTGTATATAGTAGTGTAGTGTGTAGTGTTGGAGAGTAAACCCACCACAACATTCGTCAATTCGAGTACCTGGTGACACTTCACCGGCAATTACAACGACGATGACAACAACCACAACCGGCATCATCATCAATGCTGCTGCTGCTGCTGGTTGTTGTTGTTGCATTTCGGGAAGCGTCGCAGAGTTCTGTGCGTCTGTGAGGTTTTTCTCGGCGTGGTCTTTCCCCAGCGGACGGGCGAGGAGGGAACGCCCAGAGCGTGGTCCCCAAGAGCGATGCCGAGTGCAGGTAGCCAACACAACTACCACCAACACCAATACCACCGCCACCAATACCAACACCACCACCAATACCAACACCACCAACACTTACACCAACACCACCGCCACTAACACCACCACCACCAATACCAACACCGCCACCAACACTACCACCACCGCCACCAACACCGCCACCGCCACCAACACCAATACCGCCACCGCCACCAATACCGCCACCGCCACCAACACCGCCACCAACACCACCAACAACACCAACACCAACACCACCTACACCTACGCCGCAACCACCACAGCCACCAACACCGCCAACAACGCCGCCGCCACCAACACCGCCACCTCCACCACCACCACCACCACGGTGGAGCAGAAACAATCAGAATTTTAGGACCTTGCCCCCCCCCCCCCCCCCCCCCCCCCCCGGTTGACGGTTGACACCGCCGGATGAAAGCCGCTCCCCAAATCACCGCCGCCACACCACGTGGGGCGTGGCGGCGACGCCATCCGTCTGGCTCCTGCACCATCACTCCGCGGTGGCTCGGAGATGTTGACTACCTCGCCTGGCACGCAGGAGGTCGTGGGTTCGACCCCTGACGATGCCTGCCGCTTGATATTTGGAGTTTGCGGCGCCTTCAGAAGCGGCTCCTGTCGATGCGCTTCGTGCGTTCAGTTTGTCAACCTTCACCCGAACCTCCGAATTAGAAACGGTTTGTCTACGAGCGGTGCGGAATAACGAGTTCAACGTACGCGCACGCTCGTGCACTGGGTGCGTGCGTATCGCACTCGCGCGAGGTACGTGCGTCTCACCATCGCCTACTGTCTCCGCTCCCTCCAATGGCTACGGGCGCGGTGTGCTGGCCGGGGGTCGCCACAGCGGCGGCGTGGAGATGACGAAGCTGCAGCACGTGGTGGTGGTGGTGGTGGAGGAGGAGACGTGAGGGGAGAAGGAGGCGATGGTGGTGTAATAAAAGACGGCGTCATTTACTGCTGGTCTCCGCTCGTCTTTTATTCAGGTTCTTCTCCGCACCCCACTGGTCTCCTCCGCGGACCAGCGTCGTCTCCTCTCGCGCGCCCCGCACGTACTCCCTCCTCAGCTCCGCCACTCATCCTCACACCCGCTGCTCCTGACAAGGGACCAGTGTCTCCTCTCGCGCGCCCCGCACGCGCTCTCCCGTCAGTCGCTCCGCTCCTCCCCGCTCCGCACACCGCTGGCCGACGGTGTGCGGAAGCCCCCTCAGTCACGTGGCTGATGGGGCGGCGGCCACCCCACGTGGTCCCGCTTCTTCACTCCATCGACTGGCCCCGATCTCTCCCGGGCTCCTCTCTATAACCTCTCTCCCACGTGACCCCGACTCCTCCCCTTCCTGATCGTCACATCCGGCTTTCCCATCCTGCCCTGCTGGCTCCACCCCCGTTCACCTCGCTTCCCATTGGAGCTGCCGAGGTGACAGCGGCCCCTCCCACACGCCCCCCGTACCGGGCTCCGCCCCCAACACCCCGGGCCGCGTGATTGGGCCAGAGTCCAGCAGCAACCCCATTTACGCCGCATTACACATGTAACGTCAACTTTTGAAAGTTCACATTTATCACGAATATCACATTCTTGTTTATCTGTCTGCTTGAGAATGTCTTCAAAGTGTTTCGGTCGGAAATATTCCTCCCAGGCCAAGCCCCAGAGAGGGCGTGGTGTATTCCGCAAATATGCCGACTGTGAGGGCGGGCACAAGCTGGCGTGAGTAGGTTAAACGTTGAGTTTTATAAAGGCACCACGGGGTGACCAGCCCCTCCCCACCCAGCCCCACCCCACCCAGCCCCTCCCCTCCCTGCACGACGGACGGAAACAATAATCCCCTGTGGGCTGGTGTAACCAGTGGGTTCCTACCAGTACAAATACTATGACCCTGGCGCTGCGTCTCTCTCCACGCCTCTGCCCAATGGCGGCGCTTTTGCTCAAACTTCCAAAATCCCTTTGGGTGTTAAGCCTTATTCTTCATTTCACCTCCTTCAAGTTGCCAAGTCGTGTCTTCAATTGTTTTTGCCTCGTGTCTTTTCCCCCCAACATCTCGTCCTCGCTAAACCTCACGGCAGCTCATTCATATTCCATCAGCCATTGTCCCCTTGACACGAGTTTGACATCGAACGAGAAGCGGGGCTGTGTGCAGTGAACCCTGCACTTGTCTCCGTCTGTACGACGATGTGGTCTTTCTCCGTGACGACGACCTTTGTAAATGTCATCGCAACAAATGGATTTTATAAGATAACATGTACCCATGTTTATTGTGAAATGAGTCGACACAATAAAAAAACATGGAAACACGATGATGATATGTTTGTTTAGGGATTGACTTGAATTGTTTTCTGACTATCAAATGTATTACCTCTTTAATCTCATGATCTGGAGCTTGTATCACTCTCCATTGAGCTGTAGCAGGGATGAAACAAATAATACATCTTCCCTGCCCATCCTCAGCCTGCCGTGTCGATTACAGGAGCACAGCTGTCGGATTGTTTACATTGTTGCGATTTTATTCATAAATAAATAAAAATTTAACCCGTAAAAACAAAGTTTTTCACTATAAATCCTTTATATGCGTGGCATCGGGGCGGCTAGAGTCCTCTCGTCCTCTGGCTTGAGATGGCTGCCACCTATGGGTCAGATGATTGTCTGGCAGCATTAAACAATTGGTAATTAAATATGTATTTTCCCCTAAACAGTGTAAAATTTTGCAGTCTCGAAGTCATCTTCTGCACGTGTCACTACTCTCACCTGTCTCCATGCTGCACGCACTTCTTCTGCCTCACGAGCTTCTCATCGTTCAACATAAAGTGTGACAAAGCGTACGATGCTGAAGATAAAAACTCACATTGTGGAAGGTCAAATCCAGACGTGACTGAGCCAATATCTATGGCAGCTGTGTCTCGCGATGAATCACTTCCAGTAGCTGATCGAGCTGCCCTGACTTGTGCACACAAAGGACTGCTCTTGTCAAGGACTCTCATGACTTAATTTGGAGCTTTCGTGACTGCAGGAATTATTCTTTGGTTCTTTCGGTAAAGTCACGTATAAAGATAAAATAATAAATTTAATTAAATACTAGCATACGACGTTTCGATTGCAACACAAGCAATCATCATCAGGTATAAATTAAATAGAAACACAAATCTAGTATACTTAGAAATGTAATGTAATACAACAGAGAGTCGGATAACATAACAGTCAACACCCTATCTGGTTGATTACGTTCTTCCTGAGAATGCTACATTTGAGAGAGAGATTATGATTCTGGTTCTGTGTTTAATCTCTCTCAAATTTGGCATTCTCAGGAAGAACGTAATCAACCAGATAGGGTGTTGACTGTTATGTTATCCGACTCTCTGTTGTATTACATTACATTTCTAAGTATAATAGATTTGTGTTTCTATTTAAGTTATACCTGATGATGATTGCTTGTGTTGCAATCGAAACGTCGTATGCTAGTATTTAATTTATTTTTTTATCTTCATACGTGACTTTACCGAAAGAACCAAAGAATACTCTCATGACGTGTCATGCCTGCGAGCTCATAGACATTGTGACAGCAGCAGAAGGTCGCTGTTCCTCTCGTGTCCTTGGCCAGCGATGTCGCAATGCCGGGATACGTTGCTGGCGAGCGTCTATTGCACACACGGTGACACAGGCACCAGGTACCCAAAGCCAACGTGGACTTCTTCACATTTGAAGTCCCAAACAGCACGGAACACTCATTCATATGAGGCTGAGATGACCTTGAGAAGGAGCATGCCAGATACCAGAAGCCAAGAACGGCACCTGTTTTTTAAAAATCCTTTATATTAAGTTCACTTGCTTGCTTGCGTGATTGCGTGCGTGCTTGCTTACGACCGTGCAAATCTTCCAGTCGTTTTTTAACCCACTTCCCGTGATCCAATCGAGCTGACATTTTCCACACAGACTCGTTGTGCGTGACGATTAATTTTCGTGAAAAAAAAATTTCCCAAATTTTACACTGTTTAGGGAATTTTTTAAAAAAAATATTTAATTACCAATTGCTTAATGGTGGCAGACAATCATCTGACCCATAGGTGGCAGCCATCTCAAGCCAGAGGACGAGAGGACTCTAGCCGCCACGCATATAAAGGATTTAAAGTGAAAAACTTTGTTTTCACCGGTTAATTTTTGCAAGGTTTGAATTACAATACTTTGTCCAACACACACTCGTACACCCTTAGCCTCGCTCACCCACATAAGCATTACACATTTTCAAAAGAACCCCTGTGCGGCCGATGCTGACTGTGCTGACTGTTGGGGCAATGCGATTTGCTGGTAGCCGTGAAGGCTGCAATGGTGGTGGGGTGGCCAGCACCACGCCTGTCTCCCCAACGCTGAAGCTGACGTCACACGCCGGCTACTTACTCACTTAAGGCTCAAAGCCAAGGGAATGCCCAGGAACGGTTCCTATATTTGCAACCGAGTTAGAAGTGGCTGCTGGACATTTGTATTCAGATCACCACGTTTGTAGCGCATTTCACTAACCAGCACGCCACATGTCTGCCCGCCCCACATACACAGAGGCACACTATCAGTATGCAACCGAGGAGGCAAAAGATGAGCCGGGCCAACTTGTATTGGCACACACCGGGGTTAATCGAAAGAGCATCATCATCACGGTGCCTAGGAGATGTTAACTACCTCGCCTGGTACACAAGAGGTCGTGGGTTCGATCCCGACTAACGCCTGCTGCTGTATATTTAAAATCTGCGTGTCTCTCTCTCATCATCATCACGGTGGCTAGGAGATGTTGACTACCTCGCCTGGTATACAGGTTGTGGGTTCTATCCAAACCCTGACGCTTGCTGTATATTTGGAGTCTGCGTGTCTCTCTCATCATCACGGTGGCTAGGAGATGTTGACTACCTCGCCTGGTATACAAGAGGTCGTGGGTTCGATCCCGACTAACGCCTGCTGCTGTATATTTGAAGTCTGCGTGTCTCTCTCCCCGTGGCCACGTGGATTTCTCTCCGGGTTTTCCCTCCACATTTAGAATCACAAGGCCCTCAAGAGTGTGTGCATGCTTTAATTTCACCGGTGGGGTAAAATGTGGGTGGTGGTGGTCAACATTTCCGACTGGATATCTGTGATGAAGAGCTTCACAGCTCATCGGATTCCTCCAAGATACATCATCACCGATTCTGTGTAGTCCTACCTCTCCTAAAACAAAGTATCGGCCAGCGTGGAAGAGTAGGCCAAGTTACATCCCACGGAGGCTCTCTCCAGAGCTCCCTCGAGAAAACCTTCCGTCACAGCGGTGACGCGAGCACTTGCAGGACTGCACCTTTACCCATCGGCATTAGCCGCTTGAAGTCTGCTCCTGTGACCGGGTTACACGTCAACATCGCTACGAGTGTATTTGGGTGAAGTTATTTTTACAACGGCCGAACGTACACACGCAATGCGCATGCATCGTGTGCATGCGTGATCAACATACGTTGTGCATGTCGATATAACCCAGTCAATGACAGACACCCGCTGTCATTCACGACGACATTCACTCCCCACCCCCCTTCTGGTCTGCACAACTGATTGCCGAGTTTGTTTCGCAATCGGAAGAGGTGTTTGGTTCGTTACTGGGGAAATCTGCCGAGCCACGCGGCTTATTTGTGTTTATTTTAACAGATTTCCGGCAAGTTGCAACAAAAAAAGTGACACAAACAACAACTTCTGCTCTGTGTGTGTTGAACTTCTTTCGCACCGTAAGTTGCAACAAAAAAAGTGACACAAACAACAACTTCTGCTCTGTGTGTGTTGAACTTCTTTCGCACCGTACGTAGCCCAGCCGTGCTAATCCACTCGCTGTTCACTACTCACGATGTTTGTCGTTTGCCTTTGCTGCTGTTTAGTTATTTGAGCGGCGCCTCAACGCTGAAGGTCACAGGCAGTCTCAGTCCAGGGCCGTTCAAATAAGTGACTTTCATGTTCTTGGTTCTTTCGGTAAAGTCACGTAGAGAGAGAGACACGCAAACTCTAAATATACAGCAGCAGCAGCCGCCAGGGCCGGGATCGAACCCACGACTTCCTGCATACCAGGTGAGGTAGTTAACATCTCACCACGGAGAGAGAGACACACAAACTCCAGTTAGCCTCGGCTATGTTGATTGATCCTCAATTAATTACTTGGTGGAGTGAGGAATCATTTATTCTGAGCAGATGAAGGTGGCCAGGCATGGTTCTGGTCAAACCACCACCTGTTAACCATGCCATTGTGTGACAGTGTAAAGTTTGTTTTTGCAGTAAAGTCTATTTAAACTCTGTTGAACACTGAGGTTATATCAAAACAATAGTTTATTTTTGTTTCCCTCTGGAAGCACATGCAGCTGAATTCGGATCTGTTCATCCCAGCATTCAAGGACATCTAAGTTGTGATTGAACGTTAATTTATGCATTTCTGCATAGCACAAATAGAATTGTTTTCAACACCCTTTGCAATGTCAGCTGAATTTAGCTTTTATACATATTCCTTTTGTAGCCAGACAGCCGAAATTGTGTGCTCGGAGTTTTGGGTTAACATTCATTTTTAAGATACGAGGGCTCCCAGGCATATTTATGACCACTTGCTCTCTCATTGTGTGCCATTACAGCCCGTGTGATGAATTTGAGAAACGTTTTTACTACATCATGAATATATGAATAAGTATAGACGTGTAAGTCACGTGTGACTGTACGTATGCGTTCTTCTGTGCCTCGATACCGGAGTGGATATATTCTTAGGTTTTTTTCGGTAAAGTCACGTAGGTAAAAAATGTAAATTAATAAAAGTAAAATAAAACAAATTAAAAAATTCACGATGTTTCGGAAGCAACACAAGCCTCCGTCTTCAGGTGGAAACGTCACAGCCACGACAGCTGTGTTTTTTTTTTTTACTTGATACAGCTGTCGTGGCTATGACGGTTCCACCTGAAGACGGAGGCTTGTGTTGCTTCCGAAACGTCGTGAATTTTTTAATTTGTTTTATTTTACTTTTATTAATTTACATTTTTTACCTGCGTGACTTTAACGAAATAACCTAAGAATATGAATCCTTGCAGTCACGAAAGCTTCAAATCTAGAATGGTGTGGACATTCCTATTATCTGTCTGCAGCTGACGCTTACTTCGACGCTTCCTCTGCAGAATTGGTCTAATGGAGCAAAGGCAGTCAGCACAGCTCGGTACGGCAAGGCAACAATGCGACCAGAGTGCATACAGCACGGATCGCACTGGAAATTTGACACAGCACCAGAGAACACACACAGGAGAGAAACCCTTCAAGTGCACTGTGTGTGGGAAGGCATTTCCACTGTCATCTGTTCTTAAAAAACACCAGAGAACACACACGGGAGAGAAACCCTTCAAGTGCAGTGTGTGTAGCATGGCATTTTCACAGTCATATCATCTTGAAAATCACCAGAGAACACACACAGGAGAGAAACCCTTCAGGTGCTTTCTGTGCGGGAAAACGTTTGCAAAGTCACAAACTCTTCAAAGACACCAGAGAACACACACGGGAGAGAAACCCTTCAAGTGCAGTGTGTGTGGGAAGGCATTTTCACAGTCACATAATCTTGTAATACACCAGAGAACACACACTGGAGTGAAACCTTTCAGGTGCACGATTTGCGGGAAGGCGTTTGCACAAGCATCCGTTGTTCAGGCCCACCAGAGAACACACACAGGAGAGAAACCCTTCAAGTGCACTGTGTGTGGGAAGGCATTTTGTCAGTCATCTACTCTTAAAAATCATCAGAGAACACACACAGGAGAGAAACTCTTCAAGTGCACTGTGTGTAGCAAGGCATTTTCACAGTCATCTGCTCTTAAAAATCACCAGAGAACACACACGGGAGAGAAACCCTTCAGGTGCTTTCTTTGCGGTAAGGCGTTTACACGGTCAGAACATCTTCAAAGACACGAGAGAACGCACACGGGAGAGAAACACTTCAAGTGCAGTGTGTGTGGGAAAGCGTTTGTGGATTCATCTACTCTTGTAAGACACCAGAGAACACACACAGGAGAGAAACCCTTCAGGTGCACTTGGCGGGAAGGCGTTTGCACGGTCATCAAATCTTCAAGTACACCAGAGAACACACAAGCATCAGAAGATCTGCAAGGAGTGGAGTCTGAAATCAGCTTGTGAAAGTCAAAGTGCCGCAATGAGCCCATCCCTCATCAAACAATAACTGGAGGAAAATCCCAGCTTGGACACTTAAAGGTATCGAGGTGAAATGTGAAGAGGTGATGGTGAAGAGCAAAGAAGTGATGGTGAAGAGTGAAGAAGTGATGGTAAAATGTGAAGATGAAGATTATACTGCAAAATGGGACCTTCACATTGATGGAGGCAACGTGAAGCAGGAGGGGAATTCTGACTGTGAGGCAGAGTGAGGCAACTCCCAGCAGTTTGTGGAGGTGGAGGTGTGGGTGGACTTCTTAGAAAACACAAAGTCAAAGGGAGACCCGGTAGATGTGTCAGCTTGAGACGTCGCTCCAATAGATGCTCCTTTGTCACGGGCCTTTAATGAAAATAATGTGAAGTTGAACACTCAGTTCCTGGGTTCAACCTGCAGAGTAAGAGTGAGCGGCCAGTCTTTGTGTTCCCTGTGGGTTGGGTAGATCCCTGTGTTACGATCTAAACTTCCTGATCTACTATTATTTTTGCTACCAACATGACTTTACTGAAAGAACCAAAGAGTATGTGAACAAGAGCCTGTCAGTAGGGGGGCGACGATGTTTCATGTCAGTTGTGTAATTTGTCGGTAATGTTGAGAATTTGCTACATTTTGACTCAAGACGCAAGCATGCAATGGCCTACTGGTTTTGAATGACACAATAGTATGTTTTACATCCACTGTTAAGCAGACGGTGCATAATTATTTGAAATAGCTTAACCTGGTGCAGTATATTTTACTGCAGTAATTACATTTTGTTAAAATGGAAAATGTCTGTCAATGATTTAGAATGAACACTGATTTTGTGTACATGCAACATTTTATTTATGAGGGTCAAACATTGAATAAGTGATGTTAGGACAAAGTTTGTGTTTTTGGAAGTAACCTGTACAGATCACTCAGGTGAGACCCGTTGTTCTTGTGATACAGGTCAAAGGGTAGTATCCACACATGCCCGTTTGCTTTTAAATAAATGTGTGCATCTTTTGATTGAAAGCTTTCGTGACTGCAGTGAACTATTTGTCTTTTGTCAACGTGACAGAATCCTGTGTTGGGATCTTGAGAGATGACGATAGCTGGGGAGGCTTTCATTCAGCCATAGATCAATCACGGCTGACAATGGTCATTCCATTTACGAGACTTTACCCGGTGTAAGAGGCCGGAGTATACCCAAATGCCGTAGTATACCCACAGGCCGTAGTATACCCACAGGTGTAGTGTACACACAGCCTGTAGTATACCCACAGCCTGTAGTATACCCGGGGTCTAAACGGCCTAGGCTAGATTATAGCCGGGTATATTATGGCCTAGGCCAAATGATGCCCCTCTAGGCCAAATCATACCCCCGTGATAGTAATGGCGTTGAGCGATATACACGTGAATTACTAAATTTTTCCAACATTTTATTTTAAACTGTAAACACATCGACTTTGACTGCTTCAACCAGAAAAAAACTTTAATAATAACCCCTGAACCCTAAAAATGCTTCAATTGATCAAATTTAGATTCTTACTTCCACGCGTACGCGTTTTAGATATCGATTGCAGTTCGTTGTCGCCTGTTCTCTGTCTGGATAATTGCCTTTGAACTTTCACATGGGCAGAGTCTGGCCTGGAGCGGTATGGTCTGGCCCAGTCGAGTTTAAACCCCCGGGGGGTCTAGTTTAGCCTTGGAGACTTCATCCCCCCCCCCCCCGGGTATACTCTGGACTGGGCCAAACTATACCCGGGTTTAATCGGGGCAGGGGTTATTTTAGCCTGTCGGGATGGAACTCACGACCTCCTGTACACCCGGCGAGGTAGTTAACATCTCATAGCCACCGTGATGATGAGAGAGACACCGCAAACTCCAAATATACAGCAGCAGGCGTCGCCATGGTCTGGATCGAACCCACGACCTCCTGCGCACCAGGCGAGGTAGTCAACATCTCCTAGCCACCGTGATGAGAGAAACACCGCAAACTCCAAGTATACAGCAGCAGGCATCGTCAGGGTCGTGATGGAACTCACGACCTCCTGTACACCCGGCGAGGTAGTTAACATCTCATAGCCACCGTGATGATGAGAGAGAGACACGCAAACTCCAAATATACAGCAGCAGGCATTGTCATGGTCTGGATCGAACCCACGACCTCCTGCGTACCTGGCGAGGTAGTCAACATCTCCGAGCCACCGTGATGATGATGAGAGAGACACCACAAACTCAAAATATACAGCAGCAGGCGTCAGGGTCGGGATGGAACTCACGACCTCCTGCGCACCAGGCGAGGTAGTCAACATCTCCTAGCCACCGTGGTGATGATGAAAGAGAGAGACACAGACCTGTAGATCAGCCGCGGTAGTCAACATCTCATAGCCACCTTGATGATGAGAAAGACACCACAAACTCCAAACATACAGCAGCAGGCGTAGCCATGGTCTGGATCGAACCCACGACCTCCTGCGCACCAGGCGAGGTAGTCAACATCTCATAGCCACCGTGATGATGATGAGAGAGAGAGACACAGACCTCCTGCGCACCAGGCGAGGTAGTCAACATCTCATAGCCACCGTGGGGCAGTCATGGCTAGAGTGGTGGAGGGGGCGTGTCACCCTCCGTGTCTGGGCGGTGCGTCCGAGACCGGCTCTGGTTTGGCCCCGGAACCGTCTCGTTCTGAGTCGGTCAAGTGGCGTTCTTCGTTCGATTCGGCCGTGTGAGCTCCTCGCTCGGGGCAACCTCCAGGCAGCTTGAGTGGCGCAAGGAAATACACAGGCAGGAACACAATGTTCCACACTGCCCACTAGGGATTATTTGTCTGTCTGTCTGTCGTGCATAAATAAATATATAATATAAACAGCTCTTTGATTGGTGGAGACCTACTGCCGGGTACGGAGAGGGGAGGGGCCTAAGGGAGGGGGGTCAGGGGAGGGGCCTGAGGATATGGGGGGGTGGTCAGGGGAGGGGCCTAAGGGAGGGGGGTCAGGGGAGGGGCCAATAGTGAAGGGGGCTGGCTGCCTGGCTACCTCAAGTCACGTGATCTTGTACACAGGTAGAGGAACAACAGGTTCCATACTTGCCCACCAGGGATTATTTGTCTGTCGTGCACGAATGCGCTGTCCAACCAAGTTCCTACCTGCCCACTCCGAAGGAACGTGTTTTTTAAACGATGTGAAATAACGGCACTCAACTGTTCATTTAACTACTTTCAAGTTTCCGGATGGGAAAGCGGAACAGCGCCGGCTCACCGCGGGGCTTGCGGCGTGGAACCAGCGACTCGTCGTCAACGTCAACTCCACGGCTCGCGAGCCAAACCCTTCGCAAGTCTAGCGTCCACACGGAGACAGACGGACGGGACAGACACACGGAAAAAAACACGTTCCTTCGCAGTGTGCAGGTCGGAACTTGGTTGGACAGCGCATTCGTGCACGACAGACAGACACATAATCCCTGGTGGGCAGTGTGGAACCTGCTGTTCCTCTACCTGTGTACAAGATCACGTGACTTGAGGCAGCCAGGCAGCCAGCCAGGCAGACAGCCCCCTTCACTATTGGCCCCTCCCCCTTGCTTAGGCCCCTCCCCTTACCCCCTCTCCCTTAGGCCCCTCCCCTTACCCCCTCTCCCTTAGGCCCCTCCCCTGACCCCCCCCTCCCTTAGGCACCTCCCCTGACACCCTCCTCCCTTAGGCCCCTCCCCTCTCCGTTCCGGCAGGAGGTCTCCACCAATCAAAGAGCTGTTTATATTATATATATATTTATGCACGACAGACAGACAAAAAATCCCTGGTGAGCAGTGTGGAACTTATTGTTCCTACCTATAAAACGAAAAAGCAGTTTAAATAATTACTAAGAACTGTTGATCCCAATTATTGAAACAACTACCAAAAGAATTTTTTAATCATGACTTGGTTCCACCGAGATTTGAACTCAGATCGCAGGATTCAAAGTCCTGAGTGCTAACCATTACACCATGGAACCTTCACACAGAAAGCTTGTTACACAGTCAACACGAGAGTGGGTTCAATCAATTGTATTAAATCATTAAAACAATAATGCTGCTTCCAACTTTTTTTAAAGAATGAGTGGTTGCTGTTAAGAGATTATGAAGTTAGTAGGGCAAGTGTGCCGGTTATAATGGTTATTAGCACTCAGGACTCTAAATTCTGTGAACTATGTTCACGTCTCGTTTGTAACCCCGCCACGTTTAAAAAAACATGTAGTTTTGTCATTAAAATTACGAGATGTGAGTTTTAATTTGACTTCAGGATCTAAGGCAACCTGACTGTTGAGCCAAACGGGAGTGCTGTGCTCCCAAAATGACTTCACGTGACAACCACTAAATCTGCAATCACTCATCTGATTTCCAACATCGTGCTCAATTCCTAGATGCCACGGTGACACCTGCCGATGTCCCCTCTGTCATTTGTCTCGATTTATCTTCATTTTTTCTCACGTGTGTAATGAGCCTGTATCATCAGTTGGTTCCATGGTGTAATGGTTAGCACTCAGGACTTTGAATCCTGCGATCCGAGTTCAAATCTCGGTGGAACCTGTGTTGTGCATTTTTTAAAGATTTGCTTCTAAATAAATTATTGGGGAGAGAAAAACGGGGTTAAACACGCACATTATTCACACATTTGGTAATGTTTTATGATAGTGTAAACGTATGAACAGGAGGCAGTACATCCATAAATTAAATCGAAGTGTGCTAGCTCAGGTTTGAGTGCCCTAGAACACGTGCACCAGAGATGGAGTGATTAAATAAGCGTTGCTCCACAATCAATTGTTTCTTCACCCGATGTGAATTTGCGGCAATGTGCGGATA